ATTGAAGTGCTAACCGGGTCTATGTAACAAGTACAGTGCTACTCTGTGGTCAGAAATAGTGTATCGTGCATCGGCAGCTACTCAAGATCCCATAGCTGTTACCTACATGATACGTAGTCCCTTCGACGCTTGGTAATGTATATGTAACAAACCAAAAGCAGGCACGCTGTTACCTGAAAGTATACGTCACCAGCTTCACAAACACAACGAGGAGGTGGTTGCATCCGTCGTACGCGCTCATCCAGCCTCTCCACCACCGGCAACATAGGTCACCAACCGTGGATGACCTCACAGGACGTTAGATGTTCTCGTGCGGCCTATTGTGACCTCATTATCCTTAAAGTGATATCCCAACATATGTGCAGTACACTATTCAAATTTTGCGCACAGGACTACATTATAGAACTGTCTATTGTGAGCTCAACATGTGTTTTGCAGAAGGTACCCATAGAGACATGTCATGACCTGGGCCAAGGTCATGCACTCTGTGGTCATGTGATGGTTTTGCATGCGAGCTAGTGCTCTTTACCTCACATAAGACACCAAAACTACAAAAATGTGTACAAATTCGCGTAAGTTACGAAAAATTGCAGATATTGACATGACTGTAGGTCAATGACCTTACATTTTCCGAAAAACCTGAAACACACCAATTGTGAGTACTTTCATGGTCTATTACTCTAGCAAGTTTGAATACTAGCAAATTATCCACAGAAACGTTATGTGTGGGCAAAGTGTTTAAGTGTTGATCTCTTTGACCTGACCTAGGTCACTGATCTTGGTGGATAAGGACTTCAAATTTGCACAAGTATGCCAAATTGATAGCTAGATACTGAGTATTTCGTGCTGCTGCAAGCGTTCATTTTTCACCTGTGCTCGAAAAAAGCGAAGGAGAACTCAGCCTCCCCTTCCCAGCTGGGCTCTGGTTAGTCATTCATAATTTAGAAAACAACGCTGAGTGAAAAATAAGTTGAGTAACGAGTGGCTCTATTCGGGTACATCTGATAACGAAAAGGTAGAGACTGGATATGGGTGCAGGCCCAAGAGTAGCGGATGGGGTGAAGGAAATTTGGAAAAAAGGAAATTAAAAATGTTGGTTAAAAGAAATTGCATCTGTGAAAGCCTTTACTATGGCGCCCGGCTCCGAGAGCATAGTTCAAATTGCATATCAAAGAGCCGTGTTTAGTCTCGGCCAGCCAAGGCATCCAGGCCAGGGTCTACAGCCTCCCTGGACTGTGCGCTCAGGCCCCGTACCTTTTCGCTCAGGTCTCGTACTTTTTCGCTCAGGCCCCGTACCTTTGTACCCTGCTCCCCTACAGGCCTCTTTTTTCTGCGCCAAGGTACTCATCACTGCGTTGATACCTTCACGAATGTGCCTCCAGACCCATCCCACTTTGTGCTCAGATCCGTTAACTTGGAATATGAAGCGAATGTAATTAACGAATAACGATACTAAATAGCGATAGCGATACTAAATACTAAATAGCTAACTAAACTAACTAGACTACGCCTAAATAAAAACTAACGTAACTACAACTAAATACTAACTACTAAGGTACTAAACTAAATAAAGAATAGCGAGTTAAACATGGTGGTAGATTTGGACACGTTCGCTCGCCCCTTCACCGCGCTCGGCCAGACCACGCCCAAGATCTGACTTTGCGTCAGCATGTTGTTTGCGATGACTATATATATATATATATATATATATATATATATATATATATATATATATGGGATGAGCACGGTCCTCACGTGCGCATTGCTTTCAGGACTGCCGCTGACATTGCTTTCAGGACTGCCGCTGACATTGCTTGCACGATCCTTGCGGACAAAGTACAGGCTTCTGAAACACATACAGGCGACTCCAATCTGAATACCCCCGTGCCGCACAGTCGTCGGTTGTGTATTGTTAGTTGTTTGAATTGTGAGAATTGTGAGCTTGTTTTCCCTTGCCTGCTGTTCATCTTTTGTCTTTGATTTTGACTCGGCTCCTGGAAAGCCTGGAAGTGTTCCGCGGTGTAACCGCAATAAACTGAACTGAACTGACGGTTGTAGCGCGACTTATACGAAGAGCCTCGCAATGGCTGACCTTTCAGTCACCTCGGTAATCACATGCGTGAACCGTCGGTTCCGCAAGCGGCGAGCACCGCCACCATTCTACTGTGTGACTTTTTACACTCCTACTGTGTGTGACCAACAGTACGAGGAAAGGCATGCCAGTGGCTACACGATCCTCGAGAGATCTTTTGAAAGAGATATTTGAAAGAGATCTCGAGAGACTTTTTACTGGCTAACAGTACGAGTAAAGGCATGCCAGTGTCCGTCCTAGTTGAGTGAGGACGTCTGCATCCTCACTATGAGCTAGTGTTGTCTGCGCCGCCTATAGCCGAGCTGTAGATCAGTGCGAACGTCTACACCCACACTATGAGCTAGTTTTGTCCGCGACTGCGCCGCCTGTAACCGAGCTGTAGATCAGTGCAGACGTCTGCATCCACACTATGAGCTAGTTTTGCCTGCGAATGCGCCGCCTGTGGCCGAGCTGTAGATCAGTGCGGATGTTTGTATCTACACTATGACCTGGGTCTGCCTGCGACTGCAATCCAGCACCACCCGTGGTCTGCCTGCGACTGCAATCCAGCACCACCCGTGGTCTGCCTGCGACTGCAATCCAGCGCCACCCGTGGTCTGCCTGCGACTGCAATCCAGCACCACTCGTGGTCTGCCTGTGATTACAATCCAGCACCACCCGTGGTCGGGGGGCCGGGCTGTAGATAATTCGCGCGACGCAGCATACAGAAGCGCTGATCGAAGTATGTCAGTTAAGAGCCTGTCTCTGCCTATTCGAATGATGACAACAGTCCTACGGCACAGTACTGAAGATCCCAGTACGGCGGACTGCAACAGCACCTCTGCTTGCAATATAGCAATACACTGCCGATGCCCAATGCGGCGCACGACCTTGGCACGGAGTTATTGAAATATTTGTTATCAGTAGCGTAAGAAGTCATTAGAGATGACCACTCACGCTGGAAACTGGTAATTACACCCAGCCCTTATTACATCCGGGATTCTTGTGACTGGGCCCGGCGGCCGATACATCGTCTGGATGACACGCGCATTTTATTGGGATGACACTGAGCAATACTGTAAATAAATCTGCCCACTGGAAACTGATAATTACACCCAGCCCTCATTACATCCAGGATTCTTGTGACTGGGCCCGGCGGCCGGTGCATCGTCTGGATGACACGCGCATTCTATTGGGATGACACTGAGCAATACTGTAAATAAATCTGCCCACTCGCGCCAGTGGCTATGCCTGGAACTACCGCCACTGGGAAAGAAAGACATTAGGGTAATGAATGGTAAGACATGGTGGATTACATAGGCGTGCTGTGCGTCATATAAAAGTAAAGGACTTTATAAAAGCATCACCCAAAGTGGTCTGTCTATCGGTGAGTAGTGACCCACATCGCGCAGCCCGGGGCAAATACTGATCCTCGTGCGTGGAGAGCGCGCTCGTACGGATTTCCCAGTATTTGTGTACGCCCGGCAATCCACAGTGTGTGGTGATTGCCAACGAACGACATGCATCTTATAGATGGAGTGATGGTTTGGACTATTGTCCTGTCTGCTGTGTTAGCGTGTGTATACAGCGTTTCGGCCAGATAACTCTCTGGCCGTCGTTGTGTGTTGTAGAGTCTTGAGGACTCGATGATGCTTGGCTACCAGTCATGTATGCGTCACAACACAAATTCTCTCGTTGCAGCTGCTGGGATTCGAACCTGGATCCTCTTAATTGCGTGCCCAGTGCTCTCATCACTGCATTAACCCGGAAGGATAATTCCAAGGAGAGATTGTAGCAATGGCTTTGCTATCAAGTTGATGTTCTTGAGCTTCTCCACTACCTGGATGTGAACCTTCTTCGCCTCTTTGCAAGATTCTTTGCAAGCGGAGTGCGTTTGTGTACATTAAATAACACTCCTGTAGAACTGTTAGCTGGCACTGGAACATATATGTTGACGGAGTACAAATCTTTCATTGTGTTAACCCCTTGACAGCGCGTCACCCAATGGCAGCAGGCAAGTAGCAGAGGAGAGTCGCACAGATACGCGCTTAGTTAAAATCGCATAATGTCGCACGCGTCACGTGTAATCACGTGCAAATGATAGCACGGTGGGAACACTCGAGCGATAACGTAACTCGGCCTTGGGCTGAAAGCATCTATCATGTTCACGTAGCCGCCTTACGTGACATTTCGCCACGTTGACCTGACGTTCTGTTCACATACCAGCCAGCGGTCCGAATCCAACAATGCACCCGGCCGATCGGCAGCGAGTTCGCTACCGGCGGACGGCTGGGGTAAAATGTCTATAAACGTGTCCGGAGGGTGAGCCAGTGTGCATTTGATAGCACAGCCGTAGGGCTGTCAACCGGCACTGCCGTTGCTTGCCGACTCACAGCATCCATGTTATTGGGTTGACCCTTGACAACGCGGCACTGAGTGTAGGAGAGCAGGCGGGATAAGCGATCCGCAAAGACACGGTGGTGAATTAAATGCACTTATCATCGTACGCTTTGTTACGACCTTGCGCACATAGTAGCATTGTGGGAACATTATCGGCCAGGATCTCAAACTGATCATCGTCGGCCAACAACGCCGCGGTATTCATTAGCCAGGAGGTCGTGAGTCAAAACAGCCAAGCTGACCTGATTGGTCGGCTTAACCCGCGCGGCCCTGGAACGCGTTGTCAAACTGACCTGATTGGTCGGTTTAACCCGCGCGCTGTCGGAACGTGTTGTCACGCTATCGGAACGTGTTGTCTTTTAGCATTAAGTGAAAACTCCCACTTGCGCGGCAAAACACCTTTCCTCTTTGCATGTCCTAAGCAGCCGGAAATAAAAAAGAAAACAAAACATGCATTCTGTAATCACACCTCGCAATCGTTCATTCGACTGAAGAACACTCCGACCTGCTTCACGTGTATATTCACCTCAGCGCGCGGCGAACAGTACAGCGCCGTCAGACAGCCAATCACGCCACTGCGACCCGCACGGGGCGACCGGCGGGCGAAGCGCACGGGACGGGCCGCGCCTCCGCGCCCAGCAGCGGCGGCCGGCGCCGTCCCCAGGAGACGCCTGAGGCCGCTCCGGATGTGACTACCTGATGGGCACACTCTTGACGGCGCCCATCCGGATGCCGAACACTTCGCCGCCGTAACGCTGCAACTCCTTCTTGGGGAGCCGCACCTGACGATGACGACACTCGGTCAGAGACGGGTCCGGTGCAGAGGAGACCAGGCCCGGGAGGGACGCTCAGTCAGAGACGGGTCCGGTCCAGGGGAGGCCAGGCCGGGGAGGGACGCTCAGTCAGAGACGGGTCCGGTCCAGGGGAGGCCAGGCCGGGGAGGGACGCTCAATCTGAGACGGGTCCGGTACAGGGGGAGACAGGCCGGGGGGAAACGCTCAGTCAGAGACGGGGCCAGTCCAGAGGGAGACAGGCCGGGGAGGGACACCCGGTCAGAGACGGGTCCGGTCCAGAGGGAGACAGGTCGGGGGGAAACGCTCAGTCAGACGGGTCCGGTCCAGGGAAGGCCACGTCGGGGAGGGACACCCGGTCAGAGACGGGTCCGGCCCAGAGGAGGCCAGGCCGGGGAGGGACGCTCAGTCTGAGACGGGTCTGGTCCAGAGGGAGACAGGCCGGGGGGAAACGCTCAGTCAGAGACGGGTCCGGTCCAGAGGAGACCAGGCCCGGGAGGGACGCTCAGTCAGAGACGGTTCCGGTCCAGAGGAGACCAGGCCCGGGAGGGACGCTCAGTCAGAGACGGGGCCGGTCCAGAGGGAGACGGGCCGGGGAGGGACACCCGGTCAGAGACGGGTCCGGTCCAGAGGAGGCCACGCCGGGGAGGGATACCCAGTCAGAGACGGGTCCGGAAAGCAGGGTCTCACTTAGACAGACAGGTTCAACGTAGTAACGGAACCGGCCACGTTAAAGTAGGCCCATGAATCTTACCAAGATCGAGTCAACACGCATTACAGGCCGCACAAATAATTCCACGCCATATGTGGTCCTTGAAGCGCACGCTGGGACCAAAGAGGAAATGCAGAGGAGACTCCAGAGGACATAGGTTATAAATAGTTTGGATATATGCTTGCATTACAAATATCCGCGGCCATTTGGTTCGCTTCACTGATTGTTTATTCGATAATTAATTCTAAATATTTTGCTTCTGTAGTTTTCGGCTCAAGGCGTCCGCAAAGCAGCTTATTTTTGCCCATTTTGCTCCTTTTGCCCAAGCCCATCTTTGTCTACAAGGCATTACACTGCTTACCGGAGAGTAAACAGTGCAATGCCTTTAACGGTCACTTTTCAATGTTACAAGGCGGATGCCGCGGGCGGGTTACGTGGCCGCGGCTGGGCTGTGAAAATCGGACCAAATAATGCGCGCGCTATGAGACTCGAGCCATTTGCGCTCGAATAAAGACCTCAACGAAGGCTTGCAGCTCGTCACATCAGCTTGAGGTCCAAAAGCAAGCATTTAACACCGCCGCTGATACTCGCAAGCGAATATTTTGATAGGATATTCCGAACTCCGAGGACAAAGGTAATGATGACAGACATCAATGGTAATCGATGTATACTCCACTGACAAATATCGATGGCAAACTGGACACGAATCCCAACAAGGACAGCGACAACAATAAATCGAGCCGGCGAGATGAATTGAAGGAAGGAAAATGAAGCAGAAGGAAGACGAGCGTTACACACACGAAGTGCAAGGAAGGCCAGGTTTACACTAATGAAGTTGCGGAAGACGAGCGTTACACTGATGAACACAGGCGATGAAAGCAGGGGACCGAAAGTAAACATAACGACAAGTCAACACGCCAACATAACACAGAACACAGAGCGACAAAGCTGCCTTACCAGACTCCTGCGCTTCTTCAGCGCCCGCTTGAACTTCTCCTTGTGCTTGACGCGGGGGTTGCGGCTCTCTTTGCTCCGCTTGGGCATTAGGCCCTTGTTCTTGGCCATCTCGTAGGTGATGCTGCGCTTCTGCTCCTCCCCGTCATCATCCCCCTCCCGGCCGTTGCCTCCTGGTCGGGGGCGTCCGTCTGTAGCAACAGGTCACGGTCAGCCGTCTGTAGCAAAGGTCACGGTCAGCCGTCTGTAGCAACAGATCAGGCAGCCGTCTGTAGCAACAGATCACGGTCAGCCGTCTGTAGCAACAGATCAGGTCAGCCGTCAGTAGCAACAGATCAGGGTCAGCCGGTAGCAACAGGTCACGGTCAGCCGTCTGTAGCAACAGGTCACGGTCAGCCGTCTGTAGCAACAGATCAGGTCAGCCGTCTGTAGCAACAGATCAGGGTCAGCCGTCTGTAGCAACAGGTCACGGTCAGCCGTCTGTAGCAACAGGTCACGGTCAGCCGTCTGTAGCAACAGATCAGGGTCAGCCGTCTGCAGCAACAGGTCACGGTCAGCCGTTTGTAGCAACAGGTCAGGGTCAGTCGTCTGTAGCGACAGATCAGGGTCAGCCGTCTGTAGCAACATCAGGTCAGCCGTCTGTAGCAACAGTTCATGTCAGCCGTCTGTAGCAACAGATCAGGGTCAGCCGTCTGTAGCAACAGATCAGGGTCAGCCGTCTGCAGCAACAGGTCACGGTCAGCCGTCTGTAGCACAGATCAGGGTCAGCCGTCTGTAGCAACAGACCAGGGTCAGCCGTCTGTAGCAACAGATCAGGGTCAGCCGTCTGTAGCAACAGGTCACGGTCAGCCGTCTGTAGCAACAATCAGGGTCAGCCGTCTGTAGCAACAGGTCACGGTCAGCCGTCTGTAGCAACAGATCAGGGTCAGCCGTCTGTAGCAACAGATCAGGGTCAGCCGTCTGTAGCAACAGGTCACGGTCAGCCGTCTGTAGCAACAGGTCACGGTCAGCCGTCTGTAGCAACAGATCAGGTCAGCCGTCTGTAGCAACAGATCAGGGTCAGCCGTCTGTAGCAACAGATCAGGGTCAGCCGTCTGTAGCAACAGGTCACGGTCAGCCGTCTGTAGCAACAGACCACGGTCAGCCGTCTGTAGCAACAGGTCACGGTCAGCCATCTGTAGCAACAGATCAGGGTCAGCCGTCTGTAGCAACAGGTCACGGTCAGCCGTCTGTAGCAACAGGCCACGGTCAGCCGTCTGTAGCAACAGATCAGGGTCAGCCGTCTGTAGCAACAGATCAGGGTCAGCCGTCTGTAGCAACAGATCAGGGTCAGCCGTCTGTAGCAACAGATCAGGGTCAGCCGTCTGTAGCAACAGGTCACGGTCAGCCGTCTGTAGCAACAGACTGGGACATCCCTCTGCAGCAAGAGATCGGGACACCCCTCTGTAACAACAGGCCGGGACACTCCTCTGTAACAACAGAACCCGGATACCCCTCTCCAACAACAACCCAGGACACCCCTCTGAAACAGCAGAGCCGGGATACCCCTCTGTAACACACCAGGACATCTCTCTGTAACAACAGAACCGGGATGCCCCTCTGTAACAACAAACCAGGACACCCCTCTGTAACAACAGATCTGGGCCACCCCTCTGTAACAAGAGATCCGGGCCACCCCTCTGTAACAACAGATCCGGGACACTCCTCAGAAACACGACACCGTGACACCCCTCTGCATCAACAGACCGGGACATCCGTCTGCAGAAACAGTCAAGTTCGCCCTACCTCTACCTGTAAAACACGCGCTGATCCGTCCAGTTCCATCCATCTGACCCGCCACATCCGGGCATCCGGCAGCTGAGTACAACGGGGAACACCGTGTCGCTTGGCCTGGTCACTTTGGCTGATATGCCCCCGCAGCCTTGCACTCTCAGCTGAAGTGAGCAGCGTCCCCGCCCACCAAGAGCGCACGGAGATAAAAAACCCACACGATGAAACGACATTGGTGCGAGCCCAATTTGGCGGAGAGCAGGTCAATCCTGAGGTTCCGCGTAGAGCAATGGAAGCTGTCGGCTACGCGGGACGTGGCACGGCCGGCGCCGGTGACGCCACCGCCAGGCGCGGGTCGGCGCGGCGCGGCGATCCGCCTGCTACGGTTAGCTCGGACGTAATGGAAGCGGTGGTCCCGGGTATCGCTGCTCACCACCGCTGGGCGGGACGCGCCGGCCGTGGCCGACCATCGCACCCGACGAGAGGGTGCGTTACGTTCCACTGGTAAACGGGCTGGCCTGTATGGTGATGTTGTTCGGTTATAGCTCAAGCACCAAGTGCAACGCCAGCGAGCGTTCTGGCTCGTGACATCGACGTGACGGCATCAATCACATCTCGCACATATCCAGGGCTCCTGTACCCCCCAGTAAGGATAAGAGGATACCGTCAACTCGAAATAAACACATGACTGACGAGACAACTTTCGTTCGACCCAGTATCCCTATGCCGGGTTATGGCACTGCAACGCACACGGAGCCCCACGCACTCTTCGGGCGAAATGTACTTCAGGTCGGCCAACTAAATGGAATCACAACACATCGCATGGACTAGTGTATAATTATAAGGTCCGTAACCAAGTATTCCCTTACCAGCCTTAGCTCCCCAACAAATAAAGAGCAAAAGTCCTCCAAAAGCGTGAAGCAGGAGCGCTATCAACCGCAGTTGCTACAGGAATACGTCGGACAGTTACGCCCGCGAGCGCCATTTGAGAGGACGGACAAACGGATGCCGGCCAGCAACTGACTGGCACTTCGACTAAGTGACCGCAAGACGACCAAGTCGCAACCCTATCTTCGCCTGCGAGCCCCGAAACGGACTGTCAGACCTGGCACGGACTGTCAGACCCGACACGGAACCTGACACGGACTGCAGAGATGCTGCGGGCTGTCAGACCCGACACGGACTGTCAGACCCGGTACGGACTACAGACCCGGAGCGGACTGTCAGACCCGACACGGACTGCCATACCTGGCACGGACTGTCATACCTGGCACGGACTGTCAGACCCGACGCTGACTGCACAGCCGGCGCGGGCTGTCAAACCCGACACGGACTGTCAGACCTGGCACGGACTACAGACCCGGAACGGACTGTCAGACCCGGACCCGGGGCGGACGGTCAGACCCGACACGGACTGTCAGACCTGGCACGGACTACAGACCCGGACGGACTGTCAGACCCGGTACGGACTACAGACCCGGACGGACTGTCAGACCCGGTACGGACTACAGACCCGGAACGGACGGTCAGACCCGACACGGACTACAGACCTGGCACGGACTGCCAGACTCGGAACGGACTGCCAGACAAGACACGGACTTCCAGACCTGCCACAGACTGTCAGACCCGGAAAGGACTGTCAGACCCGGCATAGACTGCGAGACCCAACACGGACTGCCAGACTGGGCCCCGACTGACTAACGAGCGGACACTGAGTCGCGGCCCGGTCGTGCTGAGGGGCGCCGACGCACGACTCACTTCCGCCACGCTCCAGCCGAGCCAACACCAGTCCCGACGGCCCGTCTGCCGATCTGTCCACCGGGCCTCGATCGTCAGCACGCCACCGTCGAGCCGGACGGCACGCGTTCCGGGCGCGCCGCGCCCCAGCCGGCGTACCGCACAGAGCCCGGCCGGTGATGACCTGCGCCGCCCCGCCCCGCCCCGACGGCGCCCGGTCCCACCCGACTCTCGGACTGACCTGGTACTGCTGGCCGGGCCGGTCCTTCTTCCTGAAGGGCGTGAGCGGGTTGTGTCGCGCCTGACCCGCCTGGCGCAGCTCGGTGAAGGTCGGGCCGGCGGCCTCCTGCGACCGACACCGGCGGCCGTCAGCGCCATACGCCAGCACACGGCACCGGCGGCCGTCAGCGCCACACACCAGCACACGACACTAGGGGAGCAGTCAGCGCCATACGCCAGCACACGACACTAGGGGAGCAGTCAGCACCACACACCAGCACAAGGCACCAGGGGAACAGTCAGTACCACACACCAGCACATGGCACCAGGGGAGCAGTCAGCACCACACACCACCACACGGCACCAGGGGAACAGTCAGTACCACACACCAGCACACGGCACCAAGGGAACAGTTAGCATCACACACTAGCACACATCAGAACAGTCAGCACCACACACCAGCACATGGCACCAGGGGAGCTGTCAGCACCACACACCAGCACACGACACCGGCGGCCGTCAGCATCACACACCAGCACACGACATCAGGAGAGCAGTCAGCACCACACACCAGCACAAGGCACCAGGGGAACAGTTAGCACCACACGCACAAACACTTTGTTGCACACTTCTGCTGCAACATTTACGTCTAATCCATTTTGGCCCAGGCATAAAAACAAATACCTCAAAAGACATCTCATGATGTTCTCGTGGTATGTACAATTTGAGCTCATGTGTCATCTATTTTTCATCATTTTTCATATCTACGTTAAAAAGAGAACGTAACGCACGTTACTTCTCTTAACAATAAAAGGAACGCAGAGCACGTCGTCGCGTCCCTCTTACAGATCATTATCAACTGCATTGGCCATTTCGCGCTCAGGGGCCGTTGCGCGACCGGGATTCGAACTCGGGCTCCCATGTGAGAGTCCAGGGCGATACCACTCGAGCATTTATTATTCATTTGCATATCACCCATTCAAGCATCATGGTGAGCAGATACTGGACGTAAGGCCTCGTGAATCCAAGTATATTCGGACTCCTCCACGAGGATAAAGCCTTTGACAAATAATTCCAAAAAGCATATGCTTCCCTTCACTGCTTTAACAGTCACTTACCTTGGCTTCAGCCACGCGTTTCTTCTCTTTCTCGAGAGCGTCGATCTCCATGGTCAGTGCTGCCAGCTTTTGGTCGACACCAGAAGGAGCAGTGTCCGTCTCGACCGTTGGACGGCGCTTGCTGAGCCGCAACCGCTTGGCAGCCGATGGTTTAGTCTTCTGATCTGTGTTAGCAATGCAATTGTAATTCACACAGCACATACGGTCTCATCAGTTCATGGGTGTTCTTATTGGCCACACAATGTGGTACCAATTTGCTTGCCACCAACTCAAAATACAAGGCGTTTTGGAACAATGATACATTTTCCAGCAGCGTACATTCCTTCTAATGGCCTAGTGCAGACAGTTTTTAGCTCAGCATGTGACAAATGCAATTGTATTTTTTAATAGCTTTGTATCTTTCCCCATGTAGATTGTACATCGTCTTGAATGACAGCACTTTAATGAGTCTCACCAGCCAGACTGACCTGCTGAGGTAGTGTCACACTTGTTTGTCTGACCTGCTGAGGTGGTGCCTAACCTGTAGAGCTGACCTGCTGAGACCGTGTCTTGCCTGCCTGTCTGACTTGCTGAGGCAGTGCATCACCTGCTTTTCTGACCTGCTGAAGCAGTGTCTTTCCTGCCTGTCTCACCTGCTGGCGCAGTGTCTGACCTACAGGACTGACCTGCTGGGGCAGGGTCTCAACTGCCTGTATGACCTGCTGGGGCAGGGTCTCACCTGCAGCGCTGGGGAGCACCGCCGCCGCCTGCAGCTCCACCCCGTCCGCCAGCTGCTGCGACACGCGCGCCATATGCGCCTCCATCGCCTGATGGTGACGTCACGCGTCACAGACCAATCAGCGGGCGGCGTAACCGGCACTGCCGTCCAATGTCAGACAGGCACCATGGTCGGGACGCAAGATGCCAGAAATCCCCTTACCCTGCTGGGACAGCAGACAAAGGCAGATGTGCACTGCTCAGGCATGGGTCAACACTTGGTGACCCGTGACCTTCATCCTAGTGAGCCTGACCTGCGTGACACTGATCTGATGTGAGACCACACAACGGTCTGGTGTTGGGGTAGACGCCGACCTGTTGTGGGATTAGATACCAATCTGACGTGGGAATGGACACTGATCTGGGGTGGGACCAGACCCTGATCTAGTGTGGGACTAGACACTGGTCTGGTGTGGGCCTAGATACTGATCTGGTGTGGGACCAGACCCTGATCTAGTGTGGGCCTAGACACTGATCTAGTGTGGGACTAGACGCTGGTCTGGTATGGGACTAGACACTGATCTGGTGTGGGACTAGACACTGATCTGGTGTGGAACCAGACCCTGATCTAGTGTGGGACTAGGCACTGGTCTGGTGTGGGACTAGGCACTGGTCTGGTGTGGGCCTAGACAATGATCTGGTGTGGGACCAGACACTGATCTAGTGTGGGCCTAGACACTGATCTAGTGTGGGACTAGACACTGGTCTGGTGTGGGACTAGACACTGATCTGGTGTGGGACTAGACACTGATCTGGTGTGGGACCAGACCCTGATCTAGTGTGGGACTAGACACTGGTCTGGTGTGGGACTAAACACTGATCTGGTGTGGGACTAGGCACTGATCTGATGTGGGACCAGACACTGATCTGGTGTGGGACTAGACACTGGCCTGATGTGGGACTAGACAGTGGTCTGGTGTGGGACCAGACACTGATCTGATGTGGAACTAGACACTGGTCTGATGTAGGAATAGACACCGATCTGGTGCGGGACCAGGCACTGATCTAGTGTGGGCCTAAACACCAATCTGGTGTGGAAATAGACCATGATCTCAGCAAACCCGGCTTCATGGGCGGGGGCAGAATCATTTGGAGCCCATGAACTGCTACAGATGCCCGGGTCCATATGCCCACATATCAGTCAGTCCGCACTTAATGACCTCAGCGACCTTAAAATTTGTGACCTGAGTCTGTCTGACCAGTGCTCTGCCCCATATTCCCTGCAAGACTGCATTCAATTAACTTGAGTGATCCAGACCTTAAGTGGCATCCATTCGCTGACCTCATGCAACCCCAGCAGGTCTGACCACATCAATGGTAACCTCAGTCGACTGACCCCATGACCCCTGAACGCCCCTGACCTTGTGTGCTCTCTCAGTGAGCTGACCCTGTGCCACCCGCGACATGACCCGCGTTGTCCGAGTGTCCCTAACCTCGCGTGTATCCACTGACCCCGCCGCCACACCGCCTCGGCCTCGGGAGGATGCGCTGACCCCACTGACCTCGTCCGCCGGGCCCAGCGCCTGCAGCAGCTTGCCGTACTGGGCGATGCGCCGCATCACCGGGTGGGTGGCGGTGGGCCGGCCGGCTGCGCGCAGGCCCAGGTAGAAGCTGATGTTGAGGCAGTAGACCAGCAGCAGCCGGTGCTTAGCCGTGACGTAGGCGGCGCCGGCACCGCCCGACACCTTGCCCTCCTGCACCTGCCCAATCAGGTCAGGGCTCCGCTTCAGGCACGGGGTGGAGCGTCGCGCCACCCCGATGCAGGGTGTCGCGCCACCCCGCTGCAGGGTGGCGGCGGGCGCTTACTTTCCAACGCCGCAGGGAGAGACGTCGGCTTCAAACTGAGGCTTAACTGTGTCGTCCCTCGAAAGGCTTCCTCCGCTCAGTTACAACCAGCCAAATAATTAAGGTTCGAATCCTGATAATAAGTTTCATCTCGACAAATTGTATTATTAGTATAGTATGTATATATATATATATATATATATATATATATATATATATATATATATATATATATATATAGTATGTATATATTAGTATATAGCTAGTATTTGGGTTGACAGCGTGTGCGTATCCGACAGCCAACATAACTTCTAAGCAAAAGTCACGTCAACTTTTCTCCAGTACGAAGCATTCCAACTCAGATATCCTCCCATCCATAATCGCCTTTCGGCGGTTCTCCTCCCCTTCACGGCGCGTATTTCATTCAGTACAAACAGAAGGAGGAGGCAGGAGCGGACGGTGCAGGCACCGCATGCCAGCCGTCAGGATGCGGGAGAGACAGACAACCTTCGGTTTATGTCTCACAAGCTTGCCAGTGGCATCGGTTGCGATCTGACGGCAGGTAAGACGAGCCCACGTACATGCGCATCCCCGCGCGCGTCTGCGTACAGCCGCGCAACCGTCACGGACACCTCAGCTATGGCGTCAGATGACGAACACAACACCCAGCATACTCGTCCGTTTGGTCAGTAGTTGGCACATTCCGCACAACTGGGGTCCACAGCGGATCCCACAGATGCTTTACGTGCGAGTTTCGGGGCTGCCGTGACCCGGCCGCGACCCAACCCGGCCGACCCAGCGAGAGTGACAGCAGAGTCAGTGTGGACTGAACCGAGCACAGCCCGTCCCCTCCCCCCCGTCAGCGGCGGCCGGCGCCACCCACCAGCCGGTAGATGGGGTTCACCACGGCGGCGAGCTCCGTCCAACGGGAGCGGAACTCCTCGATGAGCGGCAGCAGCTCCGGGTGCTGCTTCTTCAGCAGGTCCAGCTTCTCGGCGCGCGAGAGCCGGCTCGTGTCCAGCGGCACCGTCTCGGTGTGGGCGCTGGCCGCCTCCGGCGCCGGCTGCCGAGCGGCGGCGCGGTGTGAGACGGGCTCCAGGACGGTACCGTCACCCACTAGCGTCAGACGCAGCTCTGTCAGATCGGCTCAGCGGTCGGGTGAGCCCACCAGCGGCTGGCGGTACTAACGAACTGGCACGATGCCGGAACGTCAGCCAGCGGGCCGCGTGAGGCTAAGCTCACAGAGAGCCAACAGTCACCAACACACAGCGTCCACTCGCTTCACAAAGACAGCATTAGAAATATCCATCCTATCCCGCCAATGTAAACAAAGACAGGCATTATTAGAAACATCTTTCCAGTCCGGCCAAAACAAAGCAAAGACAATCCCACCGGTCACCCGATGAGCCATATCCGGTCTTTGGCCACATGCCAGGAATAGCTCCGCTGGCGTTGTGCGGTGGCACAGGGCCCGGACAGTGCCCACCAAGCTGCCGCGTCTCCACACGGACGCTGGGTGCGGTGGCACAGGGCCCGGACAGTACCCACCAAGCCGCCGCGTCTCCACACGGACGCTGGGTGCGGTGGCACAGGGCCCGGACAGCACCCACCAAGCTGCCGCGTCTCCACACGGACGCTGGGTGCGGTGGCACAGGGCCCGGACAGCACCCACCAAGCTGCCGCGTCTCCACACGGACGCTGGGTGCGGTGGCACAGGGCCCGGACAGCACCCACCAAGCCGCCGCGTCTCCACACGGACGCTGGGTGCGGTGGCACAGGGCCCGGACAGTGCCCGCCAGGCCGCCGCGTCTCCACACGGACGCTGGGTGCGGTGGCACCGGGCCCGGACAGTGCCCGCCAGGCCGCCGCGTCTCCACACGGACGCTGGGTGCGGTGGCACAGGGCCCGCACAGTGCCCGCCAGGCCGCCGCGTCTGCACACGGACGCTGGGTGCGGTGGCACAGGGCCCGGACAGTGCCCGCCAGGCCGCCGCGTCTCCACACGGACGCTGGACACTGACCTGCTGCACAGTGGCCAGCCCGAACTCGAGCTCGTGCTCCTCCAGCTGCTGGGCGAGCCGGCGCTGGATGGCGCGCGCCTCGCGCTCCTCCAGCTCGGCCATCTCCAGCGTCTCCTCGCGCGTGGCGCCGCGCCAGTCCTCGTCCACGTAGTCGGCGCTGTAGTAGGAGCCCTTGCGCTTGCCCCAGGCGGCGCCGCCGGCCGACTCGTCCTCCAGGGCATCGTCGTCTGCGGCGACGGCGGACGGAGGGGCGTCAGCGGCACGGCACGGACGACGCCACGCCGCAGAGCCGGGGCCCAACGCAGGGCGCGCGGCCGACTCTGACTGACCCGCTCTGGGTCCCAGACGTGCTGATGGCGTTACTGACTTCAGACGGTTTGAGCATAGACGACCAATTTCAGACTGCTTTGAACACACAGATGAGGCAGTATCAACGGCCTTATTCCTCGTTGAATAAACAGAAGAATGGAGAGATACGTGTATCATTCACCTCCATTCTCTTTTGTGTTCGCCGAGGAATAAGGCTGTTAGAAGTACCTTATCTATACGCACAACGTTCCTCGCAAATGTACTTAACAACTTACTGTTTTGAACAAAATTATGCTTATAATTCCGTTTTAATGTTTGAAACCTGAGTGAAGTTCGCGCGCGTGGACAAGTTAGTTTCAGAGCACGAGCCATACGGAGGCATCAGTTCGCCGCCGCACGTCAGGCTGCTGTACTGAGGAGGCAAGGCAACCGCCGGCCGGCAGAGGCACGCGAGCCCGGACACCGGGTCCCGAGCCGACGAGCCGTGGTCCAGGCCGCCGCCGCACTCACCGGCCGCCTCGTCCTCGCCGCCCTCCTCCACGCCGAGAGCCTCGTAGTCGGCGTCGCTGCCGGAGTCGTCGTCGAACGCCAGCACCTCGGCGGCGCGGCCCGACGAGCGGGTCGCGCGCTCGGGCGCCGCCGCCGCCGCGCCCAGCAGCGCCCGCTCCCGTGCCAGCTCGAACTCGTCCAGCTCGTCGCGCAGCTCGTGCTCGTCCAGGTCGCCGCGCACGAGCTCGTCGTCGGACGACTCGGCGCGCGCGGCGCGGCCGCCGGCCGTCCGGGCGCGGGTCTTCTTTTTACCCATTCGCTTGCCTGCGGCGCTGGAATGGCGGACAGGCCGGTTGGGGACGCCGTCGCAAGTAAGCAGACTGTGGTGGGGTAAGGCTTATGATTCAGAAGAGCAAGCTAACCTTCATGCGATCAGTGCCACTGGCACCAGTTACAACTTGATGTGACCAGCGCCACTGGCACCAGCTACAATTTCATGTGACCAGTGCTTGACCTGGCTTCAAATCTGGCATCACAGGCCAGGAATAGTTTCGCGGGAATGTAGCTTCATCTGCGTGCCTGCGCAGAAGTTTAGAGAATTTAGAGAGGAACTCTATGTTTCATCATACACAACTGCTGAAATTTAAATTTCCATTTTCTCCCTCCAGAATCGGGTGGATTCGATACCATTCTAACCCGCGCCCTGTCGGAGGTCTGACACAACCTTGCCCAGCCTGGGGGGGGGGGGGGGGGGAAGGGGAGGGGGAAGGAGATGACTACCATCCCTGGGATCTCAAACTTTAAGATGTTGTACGAGGAAAAAATCTTGAAGATCTCGTCAAATCATGAAGATTGCACACGAAACTGTTTACCTTAGGTCAAATTTTAAGTCACTGTAGGTCACAAAAGGTCATCAACAGTCACTCTGATAGATGCAGTTAAAGCCTATGTTAACACGTCGAGAGGGATTTTGAGGCACGGAAATAAACGTTAAGACTGGATAGTATGTCTCGACTGTTTCTTTCCCCATATGGGTCAGGTCAGATCAGGGTCCCCACTCCAAACTGGTCTATCAGTGGCCTATGCAAATGGTACTGTTTTACAATACCCTCATAACTTATCTTATGAGGTACAGCTGAGGAAAAAAGGTTTTCAAATACAAAACTATCATTCCATACTGACCTAAATTTTGTCTCAGGTCAACTTAGGTCAGGTTTACAAACCATCCAAACGAAACTGCTTGAAGTGCTAACCAAGCCTATGTGACAAGTGCAATGTCTTTCTGTGGTTAATATTGGTATATTGTACATATACAGGCACTCAAGATCACAAAGCTGTTGCCTCCACTCAATATAGTCTCTTCAGCCCTGGCAATGTATTTGTAACAAGCTGAGAACGTGCATATTGGTACATGAAATTTTATGTCATCAGCTTCACAAACAAAGGTTGTGGTTCATACATCACACTCACTCATCTGGCCTCTCCAGTTTATGCAACATTAGTCATTGACATTGGAAGATCATGTATGATCTTGGATGTCCATATGTGACTTGTGACGTTGTTGTTGTGACACTTTAGAATAATACTGCAACATGTTTTCCATGAAGCATTCAAATTCAGCATCCAAAATTGCCTTCTAAAACTGCCTATTTTTAAATCAGCATACAGTTTACAGAAGGCACCCATAAAGGTCACTCATGACCTGGGCTAAAGTTATATGCTCTGTAGTCATATGATGGTTGTGCATGCAAATTAGCACTTTCCTCATATACAAACAACATAACTACACAAAAATGTGGACAAAGCTGCATAAATTACAGGCACAGCAAAAAACTGACCTGACCTCAGGTCACTGGTCTCACATTTTCAAAAAATTTGTAGGATATGAACTGTAGGTACTATCATGTTCTATTACTAGAAGTAGTTCGAACAATAGCCAATGACCCACAAATAAGCCACATGTGGTTGGCTTATTAAAGGTTGACCTCTTTGAACTGACCAAGATCACTGAACTCGGTAGATATAAGCTTAATTTTTTTATAAAGGAAGCTTAACTGATAGAGGGCAGGTATCAAAAATGTTGTGCTGCTGCAGCATCAATTTTGACCTGTGTTTGAAAAGGCATGGGGTCAAGTTCTCCTCAGTCAGGCATGGGTTAACACAGAGGCAGCACTGTCTCTCACCATGCCTGATACCTTGCATGCATGCATGCATGTGTACACACAGTTGCTACTTGACTTTTTCAGGCTTTAGGATGTGCCATCTACCTGGTCAAAATTGAATCTAAGCTCTTGTGCTGAAGTTTGCCATATGATCTAAGGCATGGAAAATAAGCATGCAGATATGTAAAACATGGATGTTATACCCATGGACTGCAACTGGAGCTTGGATATGCTACACCTTCAGGAGCAATAGGGTTCAGGTCAGTGTTTAATCATAAGGAGAACAAGGAGCAATAACACTTCTCACTCCCTATGAAAGTGATACAAAAACTATGTCAGTACTTCTCTAGAAGTGAGCCAGTCAACAAAAAACAACAAACAAACAAACAAACAAAAACACATGGACTGACATGTATATTTGTGTGATGTTTGCACACTGAAACTGGAGGATACATGCCCAAACTCAGGCTACACCAAAATGTGCTAAATCTTTGACTTAGTTTAGCTTGAAAAAGTTGCATGACACTTTTGTATGAATTACATACACAGTGCAATTCCTTCAAATAGCAGCTGTCTAAAAGTGAAATTGGTAGTGATAGTGCATCACACTCAGGGAGCTAATATTTATGGCTCTCAGCATGCATGTACTGAAATTGCTATTAACATGTCACTTCCTCATTATTGTACAGTAAACCATGAATTTTTGGTTTGGGTTTCAAAGTCTGGTGAGGCAAGTGGCCTCACCAGACATAACAATACATGTAACAATACAATACATAACAATGCATGAACAAAGTCAAAGTCAGGTGTAGCAGTTTTGTTACAGCAGTGACATCCAGGCAATGATTTTAATGCATGTATGTTGGAAATCTGACTGCTCAGTTTGGTACACAGTTGGCACTATTACAGCATACAGAGAGTGAATGCTAAAAGGAATAATGCTGTTGCAAAAGTGACTTCTGCACAAATACCCCAGAAACATTTTTCACCAAGACAGTGTGAAATGTAGCACAATTTAGCCTAGCCTGTATTGTATGCATGCAAAGATAAATTTCTGCACACAGTGCCAGGTTAACATCCTGTGCAGTGGATCTTGTCCAAACTAGCCAGCACCTTCACAAGCAACCCAGCACAAGTTTCCAGGGTAGACCCAGCATCAGACCATAGGTTGGCCTGGGATGGTCATACCGCTAGAGTACTAGGAAGGTCAAACCTTTTAGGGGACCAAATTCCAACACTAGTACTAGCCCTAACTTTACAACAGCCCCAACAAAAATAATGCAAATTTTGACTGGACTGCAAATGGGAGATGATCTTACAAAACTTTTTGACTAGATAGACTTGGCACTAAGCCACTTTTCAGTTTGGAACACATTTTACGACTGGAACAGCTTCCTTGACATACAGCATTCAAACAAGAACTTCTTGTAAGCATGCCTGGACTGACGCACGGTGGACGGACGTTTCCGCCAAACGCTGAAGCCGTTTCACAGTTAGAATGGCGTACGTCGAGCTGCAAGCGAAACGCCCACCTCACCTAATTCGCACAAAAATGAAAACAACAATATTTCAAAACTTATACGCACCTTCTCGTATTCAACCAGACTGCAACGAAAAATATGCCGTTCGCACTACACTGTCCGTCGTCAACCCTGCACGGGGTCGGCACGCGTGAGGCGTTTGTCGCAGAACCGCTGCCTTAGAGGACAAAGTTCTACCAGCAACAGCTGATGGAGCACTTAAGCTCAGTCCTAACTTCTTTCTAAACAACCACAGTGGATGCAAAAAAAATTTCAGCTGTTGCAGCCACATGCTGCCTGAGCTGCGCACCTACTTCTCAATATTTTACGATAATCTTTCCAACTTTGGAATGGATTACATATTTTCGCATGTTTTATTTAAAAATTATATTTTTTGACCAAAGATTAGCTATTTAATCCATTACATCCTTAGTTTACCAGCTAACTTGAAAGTCGTAGTCAGGATAAGCTGATCAATGTTGTGAGGCAGGATTATTACCCTTATGACTGTTTCGTTCCTCTGGGTATAGACAGCGCGAGAGCGTGCGGCGGGCGGATACTAGTGCCTTCCGCAGTCATCATTGGGGTTGATCAGAACTCTCCAAATGTGAAATTTTGATTGTATTTGCACGATTGTGTAGGCTAGTGCCTGTTAACGGTCCTTCTACACAAGTGGTCTTTTTGAAAGAAAGGTGTAACCTTCGGATCCGTTCAAACATTTCGAAAGATGACGGATGGCCGTGTTTGCGAAACGCCCGCCTGCAACAAGCCAGCTAGTTTGCAGTGTCCGACCTGTTTAAAAAATGATTTACCTCCGACATTTTTCTGCTCACAGGTTTGTGTGACCTGTTCACGGAATATCGCTTTACTGGTGCTTTTCTGTGCTGCTACAAGCTTTTTGTGGAATTGACATTCTTAGTATTGTCTCAATCATTAATTAGGTTTTTACTGACAGATGTCATGTATGTTATGGTGAAATATGACTAGGAAATGCCTGAATTGTGTGGATAGTAATTCATGCTGCCTATGTGTGACCCATGATATGATGTTACATTGGCATTCCATAACTAGCTACTCTGAAAGTATGAGATAGCACAGCCTGCAACAGGTGCCATGTCAGTGTATGAGATATTTGGTGCAGGCCCAACCACCCAAAATGGTCAGCCAACTTTTCTGCTTTAAGTGGCTGATAATGTGATGACTGGGAGGCAGTGTTCCCCAAGGATTTTCCTGAAAATCTAATTTGCACTGGCTGACTACCATTTGCACCATGTCAGTAGCATAACAACTGTGTCAGTCATTTTTAAATCTTAAAAGATAAATCATCAGTTTGCCTGCCACCATGCTGACATTGGCCAATCTAGTGTGCAGTTGCCTGTGGATGGTTTGCTCACTCAGCACAATCAACAGAAGTTGGCAGTGGCAAAATGCTTCGTGCTTGCACAAAACCTGTTGTCTAAGGGCTGCGGTTGAGTTGATGGATTTTCGGCTACAGGATCTCACAGGGAACAGCATCCAGTGCCAGATAGGATAAGATTGCTGCATTAAAGAGAGTTATGATGCATTTAAGACATGGCTCATTCAGCCTTTTAGCTTCATACCTTTGCTTATCCATGCCTTTGTGACTTGCCATTACATTATTTTTTATACATCATAGTGTGTCTTCTGGTTATGCATGGCTGATGGCCCAGGTCAGTACCTGCCTCAATATCCATCAGGTGCCCCAAGATAATGTCAGTCATCCTAATTGAGGGATTTCTGCCCCCAAATTTTCCAAATGTAAGCAAATACCAATTCCCATCCCCAAGCTGCCCCAGTGAGACATCATCAAAATCCGTCATATTTTGCAGACCAGGTAATGAGCAAATAACTGAAAAAGTTGGGATTTCAGTTATTAATAGCTTGGTTAGAAGGGTATTGTAGACATGTAGACTTATCTTATGTAGACTGTCACTTATAAAGTATGCAAAAGCATATTAAAACTATGTTTGCTATTTCATTTATGCTTGAAATATTGCAATAATAATATTGCAATAATAAGACAATAATTCTTTGTATTCTCTTTCCAGGACTGTTTCAAATCCAGCTGGAAGGAACACAAGTCCGTCCACAAAAAAGGTAAGGATAATGGCTTTGTCATTATCCTCCCATAGCCCATAGGCATATAGATCAGTCATGACTATTTGTTTACTTATTAGAGTCCTAATGTGCATTGTCAGAGCAGACCATTGCACTTCACATATGACAGCTTGGAGGAGGAGGGAGGAAGTTGACTGCAAGTGGAATGTGTGACTTGTGTTTGCCAGGATACATTGATTTTTTTTAAAGTCAACCACTATGTTAAGTATTAAAATGTATGCATTATTTGTGCTGTGCCATAAGGAACAGTCTCAATGATTATGATGTGCCCAGATATTTATTATGGATCATTTGCATTCTTGACTTTGGGCTCAGAATAAACCACAAGCAGACCATGTGGTTGGTTTCCTGAATGTGTCATCCAGCTTGTGTTATTCCAATGCACTGTTTAGTGCTGCCTGCAGTATATATAAAATGACCAAATGTGTAGAAGTATGTTATACATCATATGGTGCCGCAGCACAGTGTGCTGGGTGGGTGAAACATTCTGTATCAGATGAGCCAACCACCTTGTGGATAACATCAAAGAAGTGATGTGTGCCATACTAGATGTGCATGTTTCGCAAAAATATGCTAGATTAACATGTTGTCTTTGTGATGGACATTGGTGTGCATAAGGAGCCTTGTTTGAATTAAATGCTGGAATGAATGTTTTGAATGCTTTCTTTGATGTTGTTGACATCGATGTGGTATTCCAGCTGAAAAGAGGGATGGAGATAAATACAACCCATGGCCCAGATATTTCTTCACAGGTAAGTTTGATTGCTAAGATGTGTCAACATCTTCAAAACTGGACCATGATCATGGTGTCAAAACTTGATCTTGTCTGTGCACAAGCAGTATGTGTGGAAGGTACCATGTGGAAGGCAACCAGCATTGTTTAAAGTGATCATTGCTTTCTAAAGCCCTGCTATCACTCTGGAAACCATATCAGTCACTGACAGGAACTTGATGTGAGCACAGTTTACCATGTGATAAAGAGACTGCAGCACACAGCCCAGGTGGTCTGGAGCCAGACCAAAGACCAAGAGCAGCTCAGCTCACCATGCTGTCTCGTGAGAAGCTGAAGCTATCACGTCAGTCGGAAGCTGTCAGCCTGAAGCTGTCACGTCAGTGACCTGGACCACTGAGGGCGTGCTGATGCTGTCTGCTGGCGATCAGTGTGTCCCAGCCTGTCTCCTTGCCCTGTTTGGAGGCGGCGGGCGCGGCTGGCCACCCGCACGCGACCCCGACCCTGCACCACCTGACCCTGACCCTGACCTGTCCGCCGTGCAGGTCAGCTGCGGCCGTACCCGGTCACGCCCAAGCGTGAGGTGCCCGACCACATACCGCGCACAGACTACGCCGACCACCCGAAAGGTCAGTCGGGCTCGCTCGGACCGGGCGCCACGGGCACGCAGGACACCCGGCCGGTGCGAGTGCGGACAGGAGGCTGGCGACTACGCGCCCAGCCATGCGTCTGTAAGGGAAGCCCGTGGATGTGGAAGCGTGTACTTTGTGGTTGCAGTGGGATTCATGCTCACATGCCCGCATGTTCACACTGTTCCTCTGTGCAGGCGTGCCGATCTCGCAGCAGAAGGTGCGCGGCTTGACCTACCTATTGACCTACCCTGCCCTCTGCGTAGGCGTGCCGATCTCGGAGCAGAAGGTGCGCGGCTCGGCCTACATCAAGCCGCTGGATGACCAGGAGGTGGAGGGCATGCGGCTGGCCTGTCGCCTCGGTCGCGAGGTGCTGGAGGAGGCTGCTGCCGCCGTCGCCGTCGGCGTCACCACCGACGAGATCGACCGTATCGTGCACGAGGCCTGCGTCGAGAGGTCAGTGTGGAGGGGCACGGGGGAGGGGGGGGGGGGGGGGGGGGCGTTGTCGCTATCGTTGGCAGATGCATCGAGGGCGTGTACCGACCGTCAGGCATCAGTCTGGGACCGTTCTCTGAACCACTCCCGACACAGCTTGATTCGTTCTTGCCCGACTGACATCATCTAGCCTTACCAGAGCGAGCGAGAGAGCGGTATATATATATATATATATATATATAGTATGCACAAAATAGTACTTCAGAGGGGGTCAGGACTGGGCGCGCGCGCGCGCGCACGCACGCACGCACGCACGCACACTCACACTCACACTCACACCCATATATATATATATATATATATATATATATATATATATATGGGTGTAGGTGTGGGTGTGGTAGCGAGTGTGAGTGTGAGTGTGAGTGTGAGTGTGAGTGCGTGCGTGCGTGCGTGCGTGCGTGCGTGCGTGCGTGCGTGCGTGCATACGTACGCGCGTGCGCCCAGTCCTGACCCCCTCTGAAGTACTATTTTGTGCAGACTGGCCTTACGACACTCCTACCTGTGCTGACCGCCTGACCTGACCGTACCCGAGCTGACCCCAGCTGCGCGGCCGCCAGGGAGTGCTACCCGTCACCGCTGAACTACTACCAGTTCCCCAAGAGCTGCTGCACCTCTGTCAACGAGGTCATCTGTCACGGCATCCCGGACGGTCGGCCGCTCCAGCAGGGCGACATCTGCAACGGTGAGCGCCGCGAGGTCATGCGAACGCCCTGTGTGGCTGCCCCGGCCGGCCACACAGTCCGGGCGACACGGGCGCTCTGTGTGACGGTCACACCGGCCATACTGTGCGGGGCCAAACGGACGCCCATGTGGCTGCCACACTGGTCATACTAGGGGGCAGGTGTGTACGGACGCACTGTGCAGCTGCCACACTGGCCATAGGGACGCCCTGTGATTGCCACACCGGCCACACCGTGCGGGGCCAAACGGACGCCCTATGTGGCTGCCACACTGGTCATACTAGGGGGGCACATGTGTATGGACGCACTGTACAGCTGCCACACTGGCCACACGAACGCCCTGTGACTGCCGTGGCGGCCACACTGGGGGCCACACAGATCGCACTCGGAGGTGGGGGTAGGGTGTAGGGGGGGGGGGGCACTCTTCGGGCCGTAACACGGCCTGTATTAGCAAGGACTGCGCAGACCACACCCAACTAAGATGGAAATCGTTGCTTGTTTGAGATGAGAAATGTTTAAGACTGGCATAAAAGAGAAGTGAAGATATTGATGATAATGGTCCTGGAGGGTATTTTCATTTCTGGAACGGCCAGTGAAAAGGTTTTTAATATCAGAGCCCGGGTACTGAAAGCGAGTGTATCGCGAATTTTGACATAATAGGACTGGAATAAAAGAAAGAGCAGTCGGTTTGGGGCATTGTGGAATACTGGGCGCGATGCTGGGCTTCGGTTGGGCAGTTTGTACACGTGTGCGTTATCTTGTTTTTAGTGTTGCGATATGCTGTGTGCGTCGCTTTGGAATCAATTCCGAGATGTGGAACTACGCACATGTTTAAGAGCTATGCGCGATGACAGTCAGTTGTCGTGTGCCATGGTAACATTAAGAAGAAATTTGTTAAAATTGTGTCGAAATTGTGAGTGCACTGCATGTGTTCCTGTCAATGGTTTGCATTATGTATCTGTGGCTGAAATGTAGAAACCAATCATCTACTTTGCCTTCGTTTCCTTAGAGGGTATGTTAGATCGCATGTGACTTTTTAGGTTCTCTTAATGGGTGCCTGAATCTGTTATCATGAATATTATTGTCTGACCAGAACTGAAGAAGAGACAGAGGCTTCCCTCATAGCCCCCATTGAATACAAGCAAGCTGGTTGGAGTATTATCTCTTTTACAGTTGCCATGTCCCAACGCAATAATAGTTCCAAACGCGGGAATAGAATGCCTAAAAGGAATAAAAGGGGGAATGCCATTTACTGTGTTGCCGACAATTTAAAGGTTTAAGGGGCAACAGCGACGGTGTTGTTGGCCTCCTGCTATCAGTGTTCCCTCTGGTCGTCCCTGTATCGACCCATGCTAGGTCGTGACCCGGCGTCTCTCGTGTCCAATAAGGTGGCCTAGCACGGCTGAACGTGACAGGTATTAGTTTTGCGCCTATCTTGGGAGAATGTATCGATTTCTCACTGTGCTATCCATAGCCTGCACCAGGAAGACACATGCGGATGTGATTTTTGCAGCCTGAGGGCAATTGCGAAGTAGAACATTGGAAAGGTGGGGCAGTTTTGGAGGTGGCATACCAGTATCGAATGCCATAGCCAGACGCATGCACAAAGATAGCCCGAACGCTTCCAGGTTTGGGCGGACCGGCTGCCGTGTTCAATGTGTGGCGCGTTCTGACTGTGCGGCGGCCGGCGCCGACAGTGGACGTGACGGTGTACCACCGCGGCTTCCACGGCGACCTGAACGAGACGTACCTGGTGGGCGAGGTCAGCAGCGAGGCGCGCGACCTGGTCAATGTCACCTGGGAGTGCTTGCAGAAGGCCATCGACATCGGTCAGTTACTTCGTCAGCGCCAGTGTTTGACGCGGTCACTCCCTGATCACTGCATGATTACTCTCTGAGCACTCCCTGTCACTTCCTGTCACTCCCTGACGCTCACTGTCACTCTCTGGCATTCCCTTCCATACCCTGTTACTCCCTGATCACTCCCTGATTGCCCCCTGGTCACCCCCTGTTAATCCCTGATCAATCCCTGGTCACTTCCTGATCACTCCCTGATCACTTTGTGTCACTCCCTGCCACTCCCTGATCACTCTCTACCACTCCCTGATCACTCTCTGCCACTCCCTGATCACTCTCTGCCACTCCCTGGTCACTCTCTGCCACTCCCAACGCGTGCACCCAAGCGTACCAAAAAGGACCCAACGTGTGTAAGAGCCTGTCCCTTACGTCGGCGGTTGTTTGCATGTTGTAGCAAACTGAGTGTCGCGCGTGATGGACTGTGGGCACGCTGTGCCGACTCGCTGGCACGCACGCTCCGCGAACGGCAGCGGACGTCGGCCGCCTCGTGTGCCGCGGCCCCCGGCGTGCGTGGCCACGGCCAGCCTGTGGTAGCCTGATCAGATAGCGCGTGCTGGAGATCGTCAGCTGATAGCTGGGGAAGGCAGCTTCCACCCACGGACCCGGGACACTGCTCTTTCGTTTCCTCGCCCCCGTACTGCTCCCCCTCCCCCTAGACGTCTGGGCTGTGCCGCTGACGATGGCACCCTGGGGCCGTTTCGGCCTGACCCTCCTGACCCTCCTGACCTCCTGACCTGACCTCCCGGACCTCCTGACCTCCTGACCCACGTGACCGCTGCCAGTCGTCCACAGTTCGACCGGGCGAGAAGTACCGCGAGATCGGCAACGTGATACAGAAGCACGCGTCGGAGCGGGGCTACGCGGTGGTGCGCTCCTACTGCGGCCACGGCATCCACCGGCTCTTCCACTGCAGCCCCAACGTGCCGCACTACGCGCGCAACAAGGCCGCCGGCGTGATGAAGGCCGGACACTGCTTCACCATCGAGCCCATGATATCGCAGGGTGAGGCTACAAATTCAACTCATGGCATCATCATGAGGCATCATTCAATTCAATTCATTCATTCATTCAAATTCATTGAAATTACGACGCCAAGGAAATTAATGCTTCGTATTGGGATGCTGTCGCTTGCGACGTTTCGTAAGTTGTCACAGGATCTTTGGAGTTACAGTAAACGCCGAATGAGTAAGATATCAACTGTGCTACGTTTTGCTCACATTCATCAAGCCCATGCCTGGGAGAAATATCTGCATATTTTGGCATCATGAAGAAATAAGGTAGTTCCAAAAGAAAACACGCTACTTTTATCAGAGGAATATGCAATAGCCTTTTGGCATTTGACTAAAAGGGTATTTTCAGTTGCTCCAAACTGTTTTTGGTGGTCCCAATTCCTTTTAATGTCGTGCCCACCTTGTCACAGCGTGAGTGGACACTTCACTGTCAAAGCCTCAATATAGTGGGCCGTGACAGACGGAGCACAGCCCAACACTTCGCCGTTCGGCTCATGATGGTGGGTGGTCCCGGAGCTTGTTCGGACGCATGCGGCTTTCGGCACAGCTGTCTGTCATCCTGGCTGTACGGTCGCCGCGCCAGCGTCGGCAGCCGGCGGTGTCCAGTATCGACGGCGCCGCTGTCTGTGCCAGCCGTGCCGTTGCCGCAGGCGTCCGGGAGCGACCGGCGTTCCTCCTCGCCGGCAGGCACGTGGCGGGACGAGCAGTGGCCCGACAACTGGACGGCGGTGACGGCCGACGGCAAGCTGTCGGCGCAGTTCGAGCACACGCTCCTAGTCACAGGTCAGTGGGGAGCTGTGGGTCACCCCACGGCCACAGGCACAGGTCAGCGGCGCCCTCCCCGGGGTTTACAGTCCTCTGCCTGCCCCTGGGGCCCAGCAGCACCCACTGCGGGGTGTCTAATCCTCTTCCTGCCCCTGGGGCCCAGCGGCGCTCACCAGGTGCCCCCCCCCCCCCCACACCCGTTCCGCTGGGCCGCCGGTTGGCGAACCGGTTCGGTCCAGCGCACGCGGCCGGCCCGGACAGGAGCAAGCGGGGCCGCTGCCGCCCGGGTCTGACGGTCTCCACGGACTCCGCGGGTGCAGGTAACCGGACCGGGATAACACCGGGGGTTCCCCTCCTCTGTGCGGTGGTCTGTCCCGAGGCCTTGCGCCGTCGCTGGGCATCAGTACGCGCGCCAGTACGCCGCGCAGTGTGTCGAGGGGGAGGCGTTGTGAATCTCTGTGGTCGGGGAGGTGGTCCAGGATCCGGGGGAACAGGTGCCCGAGAGGGTGTAGCATCGTGAACCAGCTGTCGCGCCTCACAGCCTGCGTCGCGTGTCCGACAGAGACTGGCGTGGACGTGTTGACGAAGCGGGACGGCACCACGCTGCCATTCTTCCTGGACCGCTCCTGATGAACGTCGCCGGACCAGCCATCGATGACGTCACGAGGCGCGGGTCGCGGCCACGTGCCGCCGGTGTGTGTTCCGTGTTCGCCGGTAACCACTCACGCTCCTTGAGTATGCCGTGTAATAAATGCATCGCACTCTTGGCGGGTGGCCGTTCGGACCTCTGGCGCTGTTCTGGCGGCGGTGCGCCTGGACTTGGGCTGCGTTCGACCGGCTGATACGGCGTGCGATGGTGACTGAGGCGGCCCGTTTCTCCTCTGTGTGGTTCGCTCCTCCCGTGAACACGGGGTACGCTGGTGAAGTGTACCACACCCAGGCATTGACGCATGGCGGCTTTGCCTTTGCGAGTCGTGAAAGCACTCCACTGTGGTTCAGGCCGAACAGCGCTTTGTGGTTGAAACAGTTTTGACTCCCCCCCCCCCCCCCCAACGGGCCTGCCAGGTTGGATCAACGCCAGAGGGTCCCGGGAACTCCGTGAGGCATCTGTTCAGCAGCTTTCGGCACTGTTTGGTTCCGCGCGAAAGTACTGCAGCGCCCTTCGCGTGGCTGCTGCCGGGACAACCCGAGGTACCCGTGCGGTTATATTTCCGTAATCCATACAGACAAGTCACAGTAAGTAATGATAGAGGCGGCAGCAAGCGGTGGACGTGATCTCGCTGCAGTCAGAAGGCGCGGCCGACAGGCTCGGGCGCCGGCACCACACCCAGCACGCAGATATAAAACAGATTTATAGACCGCGCAGGCCGGGAAACATTATTCTTGGCTGGCGACCCGGGGCGACGCCCCGACAAACAAAAAATCAGAAGGAACATCGGACGCGTTTCGGGTCCGGTCGCCATGGCAACGTTTCGTCGCGTCCTGCCCGCGGCCGCCACCCGGCACGAACTCCGTGAGACACGAGTCTAAAATCGAGACAAGACCACCACATATCCTAGACTAGGAGCGACCTGGCGAGACAGGTGCACGACCGCCTAGCACACAAGCGAGCGGCGGCGGAGGCCATTACGTGAAGGTGAAGCCCGCCTCGGCGTACGTGGTGAAGATCTTCTGAATGGAGTTGATGTAGGCAGCGGTGCGCAGGTCCAGGCCCAGGTTATACTTGGAGGCCGTGCTCATGATGGCCTGCCGGCGTTGGAGCGTCTCGTGACTCACAGGCGAGGGTGCAACAAACGCACCGGCGCAACAGCTGACGAGCGCAGCAACGCGCACGCACCCGCCGCCGGCGCCATGGCGCCCAAACTGGGATCAACACAGGTACTTCGCAACCGGATAGGGAACATGCTTAAAACGGCGCATCGACGAGCGGACCGAGCCGCAGCGAAGCCCGTCATGCCCGTGACGTCACGACGGTGGCCGATGTTGCGCGCAGATGCGGCCGGCGCGGGACGGCAATGCAAGTGCCCGTGACTGGTTTCAGTGCCAGTATGCCGCCATCTAGCGTGCTGCTTCTGGTAGTATATTAGGGTGAGCTAGGATACAGCAACGTCCCACACGCTCTTCGGCCGCGAGGCGAAAAGAGCCTCATGGCGCGCGACCAGCCGCCGCGCCGCCAGACCGCGTCCCGTTACAGCGCGACACGAAGCCCGTCGACGACCGGGGGGAGCGGTGCGTATACGTACCCTAGCCGAGCGCTCCATGGTGTAGTCCAGACCCGAGTGAACGATGTCCTTCTCGGACGCGCCCTGCCGGTGCACGCGGGCGGGAGGTCAGCTGACGGCAGCTCCGTCACATCGGCCAGCACACTCTCCCGCCCATAGCCGCTGGCGAGGCCGGCGCGGCGTGGTGCCGCCACACACACACACAATGCTACGGACAGACTCGGCGGACTGCTCCTTTAACTTTCACAATTTCACAATCACGCTGAATTCAATGACCATTCAGCAACGGTTCGCACGGTACAACGGTGCAACGGTGCACTTCATCCCTCATGACCGTCCGTATATTCTTTGGGCATGACTCCGTTCGGTGCAGCCAGCACATCCAGTGGTCTGAGAGAAGTCTGTCCGCTGATGCTAAACCATACGTAGCCTATCATAGCAATGCCTTCCAACACATTGCAGTGTTGTCCAACCCGCATTCCGTTCAGATAACCCTTCAAACCGTTTCCCACAGTCACGCTCGCAAAATAAGTGAGTGTCTGCAGTTTGAGGGGGTGATCGCTATCGCTATGGCCGGGCAGAGCCCAGAGCACCGCGTGAGCGCCACGGCTACTCACGGCGATCCTCTTCTGGAAGCTGTTTGAAGGCGTGATGGGGATCTTGCCTCCGACGCGGCCGAACCGCCGCTCCAGCGACTCCTGGACAGACTCTGCCAATCGCCGACAGGTGGCAGTGTCAGTCACGGTAGATACACGTCATCACTAACATCTCAGTCTTCAAATCCTTCCTATGCATATAATCCCCGCTCATCAAATGCTGCCACATCTGTCAAGCATTACGACAGTACATTACGACAAAATGACCGTATGTGGTCGTAAGAGGAGACGAACCCGCTAGCAGGAGCGATACAATACGAAACATACCTTCCCCGGATTTTACACAAGCAGACCAGCCAAGTCGGGAAAAGGAACGATTAGAAGACCAACATCGACGCCATTAAAACACATCACGAACGCTCATTCCAAAGTACGCTAATGACCCATCGTATCGAGTGAAAGCGTCCTCCCATCAGCCACAACGTGAGGCGCCGCACCCGGCGCGCCGTGCGGACCGAGAGCGGTCCCACTCACCGAGCAGGTGATGGTTCGAGTCCTTCTCGTACTTGAACGTCAGCCGGCCGTAGCTGACGTGGTTCAGGTTCTTCAGCCACTCGAAGTAGGACACGGTCACACCGCCTGCGGTGGCGGGGCGGACCGTCAGCCCAGCGCGCCGGCGAGAGAGGCGGCCCAGCAGCCGTGGACCAGCACAGCGGCGGCTCACCACCCACCACGCCGGCGGGGAGGCGGCCCAACAGCCGTGGACCAGCACAGCGGCGGCTCACCACCCACCACGCCGGCGGGGGAGGCGGCCCAACAGCCGTGGACCAGCACAGCGGCGGCTCACCACGCACCACGCCGGCGGGGGAGGCGGCCCAACAGCCGTGGACCAGCACAGCAGCGGCTCACCACCCACCACGCCGGCGGGGGAGGCGGGCTGACAGCGGTAGGTCAGCGCGTGGGCGGTGTGAAACCGTGTGACACCGCGTGACACGGCGCGTCCACGCCGTGGGACGTCGACAGGGAACAGGTACCGGCGTTCAGGTACAGACCACAGATACCCTTCAGCGCTCGGTGTACCTCAGTACTGGGGACACGTACCGGCGTGCGGGTACAGGTCAGGGATGCCCTTAATTAGTCTGGGACATCAGTGCTAGGCACACGTACCAGCGTCCAGGTACAGGTCGGGGATGCCCTTCGTTACTCAGGGTACACCAGTGCTAGGCACACGTACCGGCGTTCAGGTACAGGTCGGGGATGACCAGCACGCCGTTCTCCTGCAGGATCTTGTCCGCTGCTGGCGTGATCGGACCGTTGGCAGCCTCGCCGATGATCTGAAACCACCCGCGCCGGTGACGTCATCACACGTCGACCAATCGGCGCCAGGCACCGGCGTCGCCCGGCCGGCAGCGGGGCTCGCTCTCTCCGACTGGCGCCGTGTTGGCCCCGTGCGGCCAGGCGGCGGCTTTGGCCGCTGCAGAATCGCGTGCTGGACATTCCACAAAGCCAGTCGGCGGAACACCTTCAGCACGATTTTCCGCATTTCGAAGTCGGAATGCGGTGAGGTGAGGAGTCTACACATGACCGACACGGACAGTGGGCGACAGCAGAAGGCTGCAGCGCAGTCCGAGCTCTCCTCTAGGGCCCCCGCGCTGTGTACCATGGCTCCCTCTCCACTCCTGCCCCTACGAGGCAGCGAAGACCGAGCGGGGGGGGAGAGGGAGAGAGCGGAGAGAGAGAGAGAAGAGAGAGGAAGAGGAGAGATAAGAGAGAGAGAAGAGAGAGAGAGATGAGAGAGAGAGAGCAGAGAAAGATGAGAGAGAGAGAGATAGAGATAGAATAGAGATAGAGTAGAGAGAGAGAGAGAGATACGAGAGAGAGAGAGAGAGAGAGTATATAGAGTAGAAGAGCGCGAGAGCGAGAGATAGCCGAGATATCGGAGAGAGCGAGAGAGCGATAGAGCGAGAGAGCTAGAGAGCGAGAGAGTCGATGAGAGCGAATAGCGGAGAGCGAGAAGTCGAAGAGCGAGAGAGCTGTTAGAGCGATAGAGCGATAGAGTACCTTGGCCTGGATCTTGTGCGCATTGGCGCGATTGATGGCCTTCTCGATGGCGGCCGGCACCAGGATGTCACACTTCTCGAACAGCAGGTCCTCGCCCTCGTACGGCTTGGCGCCGGGGAAGTTCTTGATGGTGCCGTGCTCCAGCTTCCAGTCCTCCAGCTCCTGAGCAGGACGCGGCGGGTCCGGTTACACCAGGTCACGGATCACGCGGGCCTCCGCGCGGCGCCCTACTCACGGGCCGTGTCCACGCCCGACAGCGGCACAGTTTGGCCGGTGGTGTCACGGGTGGCGTGCAGCACGGCTGCTGGCGGCACCGGGGCAATCGCCGAGATGATACAACGGTTCACAACGGACCGCCGGTCCGTCTTGTTCACGCAGTGTGAGACACATTCCCCTGACAGCCTCACAGTAAGGCAGAGCTGATCACGACATTAAATAAAAAAATACGCACGCAACAAGCGCATGTAAAGCAACAGCAATCACAACAAAGCGCGCACATATGACGTCACCGGTCTGTCCACACAACTGCTCAGCCGAGGACGGACCACATATGACGTTACCAGCCTACCGACACGACAAGCTCAGCGTGCCATGGGCGCAACACATATGACGTCACCGGTCTGTCCACACAACTGCTCAGCCGAGGACGAACCACATATGACGTTACCAGCCTACCGACAAGACAAGCTCAGCGTGCCATGGGCGCAACACATATGACGTCACTGGTCTGTCCACACAACAGCTCAGCGTGCCGTAGACGGGCCACATATGACGTCATCAGCCTGCCCACACGACAGCTCAGCGTGCCGTGGACGGCACACGTATGACGTCACTAGTCCGTCCACACAACAGCTCAGCGTGCCGTAGACGGACCACATATGACGTCACCAGCCTGCCCACACGACAGCTCAGCTCACCGGTGACGGCACACGCATGCCGTCACCGGTCTGACCAGAGCGCAGACCGAGACGCGGCCGACCGAGCGCGCGTGACGTCTCACCTTGGGGTCCATGCCGTCCGCGTTGTAGATGGAGCCGTCGACCTCCTTGATGCCGACGCAGACGGCGCCGGCGCGGTGCAGGTACCGCATGGTGTGCAGGCCCACGTTACCGAAGCCCTGACGACGGACGGCCGGGGTCAGCTCGGGTCACCGGCGGCTCGGCCGCTCGCCATGGCGCCATCCGCCCGCCCCCCCCCCCCCTCCCCTCCCCCCCTTCCCCCGACCGCGGAACACTGGCACAGGCTAGCGTGAAATAATAATCAGGCGACTAAAGCGCGCCGTGCAGATCTTCACAACAGATTGGACAGACTGGCTTAAGTCGACCGCGCCAAACAGCTGGCCATCCAGCCTGGGTACTGGCGGCTGTCTGCAGCGGTCATATGACGCGTCGGACCCGGTCAAGACGGCGCCGCGCGGGCGCCCGTGATCGCTCACCTGGATGGTGAGGGTCTTGCTGCCCCAGCTAACCTACATGATGAAGGCCTTGCCGTCCCAGCTCACCTCAATGGTGAAAACATTGATGCCCTAGCTCACCTCAATGGTGTTGCCGCCCCAGCTCACCTGGATGATGAAGGTCTTGCCGCCCCAGCCGGGGGTGTGGCCGATCATCGACATGTAGTTGGCCTCCATGATGAAGTTCTCCAGTCCGTGGAACACGCCGCGGCCTGGCGGCGGGCGGGCGGCGGTGAGACGGGGCCGCCCGGGAGCGGCGCGCACCGGCCGTCGGTCACAGGGCAGGTCCGCCCCAGCTGGGCACCGGCCACCCAACCCCAGTCGGCAGCGTGACCCGACAGCAGCGCTCCGGACCGCCCGGCGGCCGCCACAGCCGCGTTGACACCCACCACACGGTCACCGGTGCGTTGTCGCGTGTCGCAATGTGGCGGCCACATGCTCACGTGCCACACTGATAGCTGTGTTGCCTCGCACTGCCATGACCGCGCTGCCACGTGCCACACCGCGATGGCTGCGTTGTAACGTACCGCACTGTGATGCGCCAGCTGACAGCAATACCGTGAACATCTCACTGATGCGTCACGAAGTGAAACGTGCGATGTCCCACCGCAGTCGTCACGAAGTGGAGTGTTACACTGCGGAGCGTCACAAAGCCCCGGCCACACCGGCGGAGCGCCGCAGAGCTCCGGCCACACTGGCGGAGCGTCACAGAGCCCCGGCCACATCCGGCGGAGCGCCACAGAGCCCCGGCCACACTGGCGGAGCGTCACAGAGCCCCGGCCACATCGGCGGAGCGCCACAGAGCTCCGGCCACACCAGCGGAGCGTCACAGAGTCTCGGCTACACCGGGCGGAGCGTCATAGAGCCCCGGCCACACCGGCGGCCACACCGGGCTGTGCGCCACACTCACCTGTGGCCGACACGCGTCCGTGGATACCGCCCTGGTTGATCGGTTTGCCGGTGACGCAGGCGTGCGCGTTGATGTCCAGATGACCTGCAGAGCGTCACAGCAGGTCAGCAGGCGCCGGCAGACCCTCCGCCGGCCGACACCGCCGCCAAAGGCCGACCCCAGCCGGCCGGCACCCAGAGGATACATACGTGCGGCAACGACCACACGTTTGGTGGGTTTGCTTTTAAAGAACGCATTGACGAACACGCAGGACCCAGGGAGACATCTCCCTCATGGCGAATGAAGAAAGAGCTGCTTCGTTACATCAATTACCTTAACTGTGCTCTTAAACGGGCAACAGGTAGAATTATGCAAACTTAAGTACCCGAAACGTTGGCAGTAATGAAGCACATGCAGTACTGGTGATATCATATCTTACTGATGCCAGGCTCTTGTGCGCTAGAATGTTGCAGTTGGCGGACACTTAAACAATACGCTCACACCAGTGACAAAGTGAGGAGCGAACATATCCGCGGGAGAAATATCATCGTTTCGCTCCCACATCTATCCACAACCAAGGCGTAGCGAGGGGAGGCAAGAAGACCATCACATCACCCTCGCCAACCCTCCCCCCCCCCCCGTCCCTTTCCTCATCCGCCTGACTCCTTTATCACCCTCGAAAGGCATGCCCATTGGTGCCTCGCCAAACCCACGGCCCACACGCCGGCTCGCAGCCGCCGCGACGCGCGCACAACGGCTGCGCCTCTGACCAGCGCAGTGACGTCACTGGTTTACAGTACCGGCCGGCCAGACGGCCACGGCGGCGGCGTCTGGTTAGGGAGCCGGACGCGGTGGTCACGGCGGGCGCGCGTGGCGACGAGCCGGCGTTTGCGGCGCTCCGATACGGCTCGATAGCGGCGATCCGACACCACTACAGCGGCGCGATCACCGCAGAGTGTCGCTGGCCTCCAGAGATGGACACGAAACGGGCCGGACGCGTCAGCGGGGTGTCTCTGACCTCCAGAGATGGACAGGAGAGCTGGCGTTTACGGCGCTCCGATACGGCTCGATAGCGGCGATCCGACACCACTACAGAGGCGCGATCACTGCAGAGTGTCTCTGGCCTCCAGAGACGGACAGGAAACGGACATGAGACGGGCCGGACGCGTCAGCGGGGTGTCTCTGAACCCCGGAGATGGACAGGAGACGGACACGAGACGGACCAGCAGGGTATCTCTGATCCCCAGAGACGGGCACGAGGCGGGCCGGACGCGTCAGCGGGGTGTCTCTGACCTCCAGAGATGGACAGGAGACGGACACGAGACGGGCCAGCAGGGTATCTCTTATCTCCAGAGACGGGCACAGGACGACCTAACGCGTCAGCCAGGCACGTCAGGCATCACAGATAAGCGGCACACGGCGCATACCGGCGCAGCGCCTCGCACGTGTCCCCAACACGCGCCGCCAGCAACGCTTCCACCCAAAGCGGCCACCACGTCGGCCGGGACACCTCACGTACATCGCCAGCCAGCGCGGCGCAACCGGCGCGGCCTACGACGGCCGCGACCACGGCCAGCCTCCGACCCGTCCGACAGCGTCCCAGGCGAGCACCGACGCGTCCGCCGCCGGCCCGGAGCGCCCGGCCGCCCGGCCGGCCTTACCAATCGTCTGCTGATAGGTGTCGGCGATCCAGGCCATCTCGCGCTCGCTGGTGCCCATGTCCGGCGCGGGCACGTCGATGCCGGGCCCTGCAGGTGAACGGGACGGTCAGCGCGCGCGGCGGCGCCGCCCACTCACCGATCGTCTTTTGGTAGGTGTCGGCGATCCAGGCCATCTCGCGCTCGCCGGTGCCCATGTCCGGCGCGGGCACGTCGATGCCGGGCCCTGCAAGAGAGAAGCGCCGTCACGGGCCGGACAGGGAGGGACGCCGGGATGGACACCGCGTGCTGACACCCCGCACCAGACACCCCTGCCCGCTCTGCCGACGTGGACTCTTGATGTTGAAACAGCCTGGCGGTGTTCTTAAAAGAAGACAATTAAAGCCCTCAAGATGTTCTATTCGTGTTTGAGTCTGCAAAAGCTATGGACTTCCCTTCGCTTAGTGGCATGACGCAATTTTCGCAAGCGTCTGACAGATAGCAGCTTTGTATTCACGCCGGTACCATCCTGTTTTCAGGTACACGATCCGGGGATCAGGCTATCCACATTCTGCACATATTACGCACAGCAGCACAATGCCCAAAGAAGGAATAACTCAACAAAGAACTGCGCCGATATAGTCGTTAAGGGTCGCCCCATAGCCAGCTGGCGGCTCTGAGGGCCGGCACGACCCGTTGCATGGAGATCGGTGCGATCAGAGCGAGAGGTCGCCGCACAGAAGGCTTCGTGCGCGCAGTTATAACAGTTATAACAGTTCGTGCGCCCAAAACAGTTATATACTGCCGGTCACTGGGATGAGAAGCATGAACGACCCGCATGCGATTGCAATGATTGGCCTTCTGTTAACCTCTGGTCAATTACAAGCTATTTGGAAAATGGAACTAAGAACTAAGCAAAAATCCAAGGGGCGGCCTCACACAAACCAAGCAAGCTGAGACGAAAGCAAAGTGTGTTTTCCTATTAGCTCCCGGCACTTGCATGCGTTTAGTGAAGTGAATATTACTTTTGGACACGTTAAAGCACACGCTGACCCCAAATGAATATCGTCCCACGAAAAGTTATGTCATGTAAATTCAAACAAACAAACGCAGACTTTCTTCCCGAGGGTTACGACAGAGCCTCGAGGGCATCAAAAGCCAGAAAATTGCAGAGGCGACACGTGGAAAGCCTCAAGGCAAGCAGAGTGAAGACAATTTTACCACCATGAATCACGGAGATCCCCGCCTCCGTCTCGATGTTTAAGCACGGACGTCCATCCCAGGCCACGGTACGTGACATGGTGTCACACTGTACAGGCGGCGAGGCCTTTGGCGAGGCTCAGAGTGAACATCCAAAGACGACATCTCGTCATCTGAAGCCCAGCTAGCACAGTGCAGCCGGGGCCGTCCAAAGACGACATCTCGTCATCTGAAGTCCCACTAGCAGTGTGCAGCCAGGATCATCCAAAGACGACATCTCGTCATCTGAAGCCCAGCTAGCACAGTGCAGCCGGGGCCGTCCAAAGACGACATCTCGTCATCTGAAGCCCGGCTCCCAAAGTGGCGTCAAAGACGAGATCTCGTCATCTAAGTCCGCTCGTGCATCTGAAACGCTCTGCTCCAGAGTGCGCGGAGCCGTCCAAGACGAGACATCTCGTCATCTGAACCGCTCCCGTGCTGGCGAGCCGTCCAAGACGACATCCGTCTCTGAAGCCCGGAGCGGGGCCGTCCAAAGACGACATCTCGTCATCTGAAGCCCGGCTCCCAGAGTGCTGGCGGAGCCGTCCAAAGACGACATCTCGTCATCTGAAGCCCGGCTCCCAGAGTGCTGGCGGAGCCGTCCAAAGACGACATCTCGTCATCTGAAGCCCGGCTCCCAGAGTGCGGCCGCAGCCGAGCAGTATTTCTGACCGGATGTCCGCAACTACGCGTAGCCATTCACCGACCATTCAAAAAAAAAAAAAAATCAAAGAAAAAATCAGCTGGCAAAACGTCAGACTCAATGACCGCTGAAAACTAGACCAGACGCGTACACTGCCACTGCGCGAGTGTCCATGGGGAGCATGCAAAGACGGCCGCGGCAAGGACGGAGGGCAGAGACTCGGGAGCAAGCCAGGCAGGCCGTCAACAGTCGGCGTGCGACGGTCGATGGAGAGGTATCGGAGGGCGCCAGCACACCAGTTCATGCATCAACGCCCGAAAAATAAGAATGCTAAAAAACGGCAAGTAGCTGAGAGAACAGTAATCCGAAGCATAGGACATTGCAATTATCCACTGCAGTCAAGGAAATGTACAGCTATAACACATGCATGCACGATTATTATGCTTCATAAATGACAGGTGCGAGCGAAAAAAAACAATCAAACAAGGTGCGAAAAGTATAAGCAAAGTGGTCACAAATGGTTTTAAGATGAAAAGCATGCAAAAACATACAAAGCATGACTGAAGTGCTGTCAGGCTATTGCTAGATGCACAACGCATTCACAGCATCTAGCTGATCACACCAGTCACATCAAAGATCCATATATCTCTGTTGAGACCAGTATCCAGCCCCATGGAGGCTGTGTATAGACCCCTACAGATTTTGTTGAAATGACGTCCGAACAAAGCGCCATCTGCGCCACACTCAGCGGCGTCACTACTCCCCCCCTCCCCCCCCCCCCCCCTTTAATAAACACATTCCCAACAGACCCCAGAAGCTAAAGCAGTCCGCCACCTGCTCAGCGTCTCAGCACACTGCAGAGGGTCGCCCCACAGGCAGGTCTGCACCGGCCGTCGTCGGCAAAGAGCGCGTGTCCATGGCGCGTGCCACAGTCTCAGAGCACCGCCGGGCGAGGGGGGGTCATGTGTGTAAGCAGAAGAGTCACCTGTATCCTCGCACTCGTCCAACAACGGCGGGGCGAATGTTGGCTGGTGTGGCAATGTGTGAGCAGATGAGTCACCTGTATCTCTTGCACTCGTCCAGCACCGGCGGGCGAATGTGGCTGGTGTGGCAATGTGTGAGCAGATGAGTCACCTGTATCTCTCGCACTCGTCCAACACCAGCGGGCGAATGTGGCTGGTGTGGCAATGTGTGAGCAGATGAGTCACCTGTATCTCTCGCACTCGTCCAACCACCGCCGGGCGAATGTGGCTGGTGTGGCATGTGTGAGCAGATGAGTCAACCTGTAATCTCTCGCACTCGTCCAACACCGCCGGGCGAATGTGGCTGGTGTGGCAATGTTTGGCGATGGTCACCTGTATTTCTCGCACTCGTCCACACCGCCGGGCGAATGTGGCTGTGTGACAATGTGCGAGCAGATGAGTCGACTGTATCTCACGCACTTCGTCCAGCAACGGCAAGTGAATGTGGCTGGTGTGGCAATGTGTGAACAATGAGTCAACTGTATCTCATCCCCATCGTCCAGCACCGACACCTTATCTCTCGCACTCGTCCAGCACAGCGGGCGAAGTGGCTGGTAATGACAATGCATGAGCAGATGAGTCACCTGTATCTCTCGCACTCGTCCAGCAACGGGCAAGTGTAGCTGGTGTGGCAATGTGAGCAGATGAGTCACCTGTTCTCTTCGCACTCGTCCAGCACCACCGGGCGAATGTCGTGGTGGTGGCAATGTGTGAGCAGATGAGTCACCTGTACTCTCTCGCACTCGTCAACACACGGCGCCGTCGAAGGTGGCTGTGGGCAATGTGTGAGGCAGATGAGTCAACTGTATCTCTCGCACTCGTCACAACAACGGCAAGCGAATGTGGCTGGTGTGGCAATGTGGTGAGCAGATGAGTCAACTGTATAATCTCTCGCACTGTCCAGCACCGATCACCTTATCTCTCGCACTCGTCCAGCACCGCCCGGGCGAATGTGGCTGGTTATGACAATGCACGAGCAGATGAGTCACCTGTATCTCTCCTTCGCACTCGTCCAGCAACACGGCAAGCGAATGTGGCTGGTGTGGCAATGTGTGAGGATGAGTCACTGTATCTCTCGCACTCCGCCAGCAACGGCAGCGAATGTGGCTGGGTGGCAAATGTGGTGAGCAGATGAGTCACCTGATCCCGCACTCGTCCAACAAACGGCGGGCGAATGTGGCTGGTGTGGCAATGTGTGAGCAGATGAGTCACCTGTATCTCTCGCACTCGTCCAACACCGGCGGGCGAATGTGGCTGGTGTGGCAATGTGTGAGCAGATGAGTCACCTGTATTTCTCGCACTCGTCCAGCACCGCCGAGCGAATGTGGCTGGTGTGACAATGTGTGAACAGATGAGTCAACTGTATCTCTCGCACTCGTCCAGCACCGCCGGGCGAATGTGGCTGGGTGTGACAATGTGTTTTAGCAGACGAGCCACCTGTGTCCCGCCTGTATCTACCTGTATATTCCACCTGGAGCCACCTGTATACCCGTACGGGCGTTCTCCTCCTGCCTTGCTCCCACACCCCCGACCGCGAGCCGCCGGCGCCTCCCGCTCATCACCAGCCCCACACAGGGGCTGATTGGCCGTGTGGACTCGGCGCTTGGTCCGGCCCGACGCGACGTGACGCGGCGCGCTGCGCTACGCTCACCCATAACGCCCCCGCTTGGCCGACTTCCAGGCTGAGGCGGCGCGATATACTCACCGATGAAGCCCTTCTTGGCCAGCTCCAGGGTGAAGCGACGCGTGATCTTCTCCAGCTCGTGCTCGGAGTACTTGAACGGGTCGATGCGGATACCGGCCTTCGCTCCGCCTGCAGACGGGGAATGCTCGATCTTAGCGATGCGCGGTGCCGGCCGGATCACAAACAGCGACGTTGGTTTCACAACCTTGTCTGTTGACAAACCAGTTCATATCCTTGAATTATACGAGTGGCAATTGACCTTTTGAGCCATTGACATGGGCTCGAATGGGGGTGAGGGTTAAATTACCTCACGGAAGTTTTTCCAGAATGACTTCCGAACGGCGCGGCGCAGCCGCGCCAAACTTTGCATGGCTTTGGAGAACTGAATAGCAAATCTTTTGAAATGAAAACATACATGCATTTTGTCATGTCGCTAACCTATGATAGCCCAAAGTCATGTCATGGCTGTGAGCGAAAGGCATTTCTCGGGAATCGTTCTGTGTGATTCAACAACGGAGTGTTAGCCCAAACGATAATTATCTGAGAGTTTCTAGACAATAAACCAATTTAATTTAGAATCACAGCCATTTCAACTGAACAAGAGTCAGGCATGAAGGTCAGGCCGAGGTCAAAAGTAACCTGCTTTTTTAGTCGAGAGCTTGGTTCTATAATGTAGTTTCTGGCGGTCATTTCGAATTCATTAATAACAGGGATCGCAACAGATGCGTTCTATGGACTTCATGAAGTCAGCGTAGGTCACTGACCTAAACTGACTCCGGTCAACATTCTGTTCTGAGGAACATACCGCATGGCGTGAACCCCGACACCTATTCAAATGGGAAAAAAGTAGCAATCTCGTAGCTTTTTGATCACTTGACATTATCAAAGTCAAACAAGGTCACTGACCTCATTGACCTTTTGTTTATAGCAGGCATGTAGCTCCACGGCGGTTGCATGAGGAGGTCTGGGGGCCCTTTAGACACTGATCTGGAATTTGACCTTGTCTGGGCCTATTTAACCCCAAGGTGATGACCTAGGAGCCTCAAATTGTATCAAAAGTGAGTTCATGCTCAGGCCGATCCACCCCGTGAGTTTGGTGTCTCTAGTTACCTTCGTTTTAGAGATCTCAGGAGGGGGAGGGGTTCCACTTGACCTACATCCGAGCGAAGCGTGTTCAAGCGGCAGCCCGAGCGTGTGTTAACGTATGTTTAAAAAGCTCGATAAACTAGTTCACGGCATTTGCATCACATATCACAGTTCAAGGCAGTGCCAATAACAGATGGTGCTGTTGTTTTGACCGCCTGACTTTTGTCATTACTGATTTTTTTTTGCACATACTGAGCCCCAGACGGATGGACATTAGACAGGCCTAAAATTACCGCAACCTTTGCTGAGACGGCTCAGCCAGCGGCCAACGTTCAACCCTGACACTAAAGCTCGCCTTCCGTGACCAGACCCGTTTTTCCTTCAAAGTCCACAGTACCGATTGAAAAATTAATGGCCCA